CGAACATATACAATATCATCATTATTTTCTAACAACATACAATTTCACATTTCTCAAGATACACAATTATGTCAACTCATTGGTCCTCTCATGGAGCCCAAACCCAAACAGTTAGCATACCGAAACGTGGTACCCAATCCAATGTTTATGCCGGAACGTGGCAACCGATCCCATATTTATGCCGGAACGTGGAAACCGACCCAAGTTAGTGTGTCGAAACGCAACACCTGATCCATTCAACAAGCCAAAATCACAATCACAATCACAAGTACATTCTCATAAACATACAATCAAGTCATGATTCATGGCATTCATCATTCATCTATCTCATTTACAACTAGTGTGATCAATAATGCAACATTCACATACATACGCGTATTATAATGAAGCAAGAACAAACACATATCACACAATCATGAAATCACAACCATCACCTACCTCAAAACAAGCTTGAATCCCCTAAGAAATTTGATTCTTCCCTTTCCAGATTTGTTCCGCTTGTTCTTGGTCTATAAACAATTAATTTCACACGGGAATCAATAAACAATAACTAATTACCCAAATTACTAACAATTCTATCAACCCTAGATCATACCCATGATCCCCATACCCAAATTAGGGCTTTCTCCACCATAATTTCTGGATCAAAACCCTTCCCTATCAATAATTACACATTAGATTACGTTCTACGGATTGAAAAATGGATTTGAGGAGTTAAAATCATACCTTTAGACTCAAGAATAGGGGAAAACTGTCAAGAAAACCCCTGGGTTCGTTCCTTAGCTCTCAAGTTCAAAAAATGCATAATAAAACATTTTTTTAGTTTATTTTCGACTTTTAGTCGCGTCTGCCCCGCCATGGTGGCACCCACCCCGCTACAGCAGCCCCGCCCTAGCAGCAGAAATCCCGCCTCAGCGGCTTGCATGGAAACAATAAGCAAAATTAATAATTCCAAGACCCCATTTCATAACACACCTTCAACCAACAACACTCAAAAACTACCCGTTCACGCTAAGATCAATTTCGGGAGTTCTACTGGCCCAAATTCAATTCCGTAAAGTAGTACGGGTTCCTTAACGTCTTATCTACTACTCATGTGATAAAATTCATGATTAGATCACCCAATTGCTACCAGATTTCCCTAGACCTCACAGACTCTGATTTCCTCCAAATCTGGACTAGGTTGGAAAATCTCAAGTTACTACGAAAAAGTTTTTCGGCCTAAAAAATTTTCCCATTGGCTTTTCTATAACGACGGGAACAGGTCGTAACATTTGCACTTCCTTATATTAATTCCTAATTAAAATATCTAATTTAATAATATTTATCATCTATATGCTATATGTATATTTAATTTAATCATCATCATAATATCATATTACCCCTACACTAAATTATTATTTTTTATAAAAAAAAAACTAATTCATTAAATATGAAATGTTTCTAAGAAAATTTAATGACTATTTTTCATTCACTAAATTAACGTTGTTTCTCTAATAACTTATGCTTGTAAACTAAATTATTACACAATCATTAATGTTTCAATGGAAAAAAAAATAACAACAGCTCTTTTTTTAGGAATTTTAAAGGTTATTTTGAAATTTACAAGCAATTTAATATAATTCATGTATTAGCAAAAAGTCACATTATCCAAGAAAAATGTTAACACTCTCATGCATTTATATCATGATTAATTTGCACTTATCTAATTCTTGACTATACACATTCTCTTATAATTTTTGGATTATCCCTACATTTTTCATCTATAAATATAAAAAATATTGGAGTAACAACATCATGTGGTATACGAGTAATGGGCAAGCTAAGATTTGGGGATCAACTTCTTTAGGGATGAACAAAGCATTTTTGTTTTTACTCTTTTTTTAGAAGAACAAAGGTGAATGATCTTTAGGAAGGATATGTTTTTTTTTAGTTCATAATTTCCTTCTTTGAATGTAAAATAAAGGGTCATGCATCAAAATATAAGATCATGACTCTTTACTAAAATACTTGTGTGATGTAATTTGTAAAAAAAAATTAGTTATAATTTACTTGATCTTTTTAACGATTAAATTATTGTACTATATTAATTGATTATAAAAGTTATTTATTTTTTTCTTAAGATTTAATTAGGAAAAGGGTCTGAAAAATATACTTCAACTTTTGCCGAAATTGTTGTTACGATACCAAACTTTATGGAGGACCTTTTACCCCCTGCACTATTTAATAGTGTATTTTAAAGGTATATATGTGCCCACGTGGACACATTACTATTTATAATTAATGATGAAATATTTATGATGTCCACGTGGGCATATATATACCTTTAAAATACACTATTAAAAAGTACTGGGGGTAAAAGGTCCTTTCCAAAGTTCGGTATTGTTACAGCAATTTCAGTCAAAGTTCGGATATATTTCAAACCTTTTTCCCATTTTATTAATTACTTATATATGTTTATTTTTTGTAAGGAGTACATAAGATAGAATATATAAAACTACATTCTTTATCATTTTTTTTCTGAAGGAGTTTACAAGATTGAAACACGATGAATAATTTGAAATGGAGAATTCACAGAAGAAATAATGATATAAATGTTTATCCTTATTAATTTATTTATCATTTTGTCTCATTTTGAGAAAGGCAAATTCAACGTTTTAACTTTTGATACCGTTTCATATTTTAAGTTGTCATTTTGTGGATGCTATATTTTTGTATTCTAAGCTCATTTTTGAAAAAATTAATTTGGTAGGATTCAATACGTGATATGATCCCTTAATAATAATAATAATTAATATTGATTATTAATTGTAGCCTTCATTTTATTTTAATTAACTCTAAGAAGTGGCTATCAAATTCTTTTCGTTTTTCATCTTTTTTCTTTTCCCTGAATTTGTCTTGCATGTAATTAACATATGAGATAAGAATACACATATATTAATTTGTTTTTACAATTATAGTATTTTAAAGTACTAAATATTATTATCTTTTATTTCATTTGGAGAAGCGATACTTTGCTGTCATATTTTAATTTGTTATTGGTATCCAAGAGTAGATTCTAAATATTTGAACTATTTTTTGTTTGAAAATGAATGATATTTATGTAATTTAATTATAAAACTATTTTTAATATAATGATAATTTGAAACAGTTTATGTCAATTTAGATGGATACACATGCAACGCACGTGTCCAAAAACTAGTTAATATATAAGTATATTCATATAACTTAAAAAAAATAGATTGTAGCTATATACATTAAATATAAATTGATGTTTGCTATATTCTGTCTTTTTCCATGTATTCATTGTAGTACCACCTTGTTGTCGATTACCTTCTAATTCTTGTGGGACTTCATCCCATCTCGTGGGGGGTCTTTGATGCGGGGCATTACCGGTGTCGGATAGGAAAAAAGGAGGTACAAACTCTTTGTCAAAATTGATAATATGCAAACTAATCGTAACCTTGAAATTTAGATTGTTTTTCTTTTTTAATCTATGGAGCTAAATGTATTTCTTTCAATTAATATGGATACAAAATAGTAACAGTTCATCTTGATTAATAATTAAACAATTCAGTTAACCAATTTTTCTATTATTGTTGTAGAAGTTCAGCACATTATAAACTACAAGTTCAAATTTCTTAAACTATTAGTCTACAGGGTGCCTAATGGATGTTACATTTGACATAAGGTTATTGTGTTATATTTAATTTGTTAATCATATTTATGTAATTAAAATAATATTATTTTCTCTAAATGTACAGACAAAAGGATCATGTGCACACAATTATGATATCAATAAAACTCTTTGATGTCACGAACTATATTATCTTTATCACAATTACTACTTATTTGTAGCTATACACCATGAAATTGACAATAGATGATACACTACTCATCCTAAAAAAGATATGTTAATCGAATTTATGTACAACTTTTACAAAAATGTTCATCTCATTGACAACAACCTAATATATATATATATATATATATATATATATAAAGACAATGCACAAACTTCTAGAAGTGAAGTATTCAGAGTCATAGCAAATATTACTCATATACACATGTAAACTATATGCCGTTGAAATAAATTAAATAAGCAATAAACCTGTCAATTTGAATATTTGATATGACAGTTGTATTGACATTATTAGATTTAATCGTTCAAAAAAATATCTATTTTTCTTAAATTCAACAATTAAGTCGATAGAATTCTCTCATCCTTCACCATTTTAAGACATACTATAATATAATGCAACACACGTTTCAAAACTAGTAGTAATAAAAAGATACTCAACATTTCCTTCATTGACGATCTCAACATGGTAGCTGTTTTGACAAATAGATTTGAAACTCATCAAGTTTCTTTGAGACATACTATAATATAATGCATATTAACAAACGATTTTGCTCCTCCATTTATTAATAAGGTTGCTATGTCCTAATAAACTAATTTTGTACTACCATTTATTGTATTAACACAAGCCTCTTTCCTAACCAAATAAGAGAAATATTTTTTTCTTAATTAAGTGTAAGTTGTAGCACTCTATAAAAGGCATATATCGTCTCCATTAGTCATTTCGGTTCCAACTGATGATTGAGGACATTTATTTATCTGAAGAAGGTGAAACTTGATATTTGTTCATAAAATTGGAGTTTTGACGTTGATAACATGTTAAGAAAATAAGGTTAAAATAACAATATTAAAGATGAAAACAAGATAGACAAAATACGTTGATGTATGTATCACCTCTCATGATCGTAGTTATATTATTACTTAAGAGGGTGGTTACAAAATTGTCTTAAACATGATATTAACCATTGAGATCCTGGAGAAGGTTACGTGTTTCATGGATAATGTTATGGAGGTGCGGGAGTTACTCTACAATTAATGTCCAGATCGATGTGGAACTCTAAAAGTTCAATTCCCTTGTTAAAAGCTAACACAGAATGTTGGATGAGCATAAATATTCCACTATATCTATTTGAATCAAAAACTACTTATTTGTTGAGTCAAGCCAGCCAGAGAAGAAACCTACAAAACTTGACTCTCTTGGTTGTGAACTCTCTTGCTCTCTTCTTTGCAGCACTCTTAGGAACTCATCTGAACTTAAAGTCCCATCACAATCTAAATCAAACATGAAAAATATCAAATCCACCACGTTATCACTAAGTGATATGCTGCAAACCTGGTAGGAGACATCATTAGCAAATTCATAGTGAGGAAGGGAAGAGAAGAGGTTGTATAGACAGCAGCTTCAACATACTTGATTAGCAGCTCTTTTCAACTCTTGTTTCGACAAAAGTCCATTTTTTGCATAGCTTAAGATGGACTGTGAAAATGATGGTAGTTCTTTGCGTAGCTCAGCAAGGTTCATGAATTCCTTGAATGTAATGCGTACGTCTCTAAGCTGCTTTTCATCATCCAGATCTTCTACTCGGTCAAGAAACTTGTCGATGTGACTTATATCAGCAGATGCAACCATTGATAAAGCAAAATCTTTGGCAGAAATGCTTCCTTGTGACTTGTAGTCATAATGGGCAAATTCCAATCGCGATATCTGAAATCCATAAAGGGAATTTGAATCAAATCGAACATTTTTAGAAGAAACTATATTGTATTTCTTGGAGATTGAAAACACATACTTCATTATGTAAATCTCTTAAAAACTGAACAAATTTTTCTTGCTCAAGTCTCCCTTTGCCATCTTTACCAAAGAAGTACTCCAATAGACCTCCTTCATCTACTGAACCTGTGACTTTTAATCCAAATCGCATTCCATTTCTATGTCGTGCACCTTGTCTATTAGCAGTTCGCATCAGTTCCATCATTCTCTTAAATTCTTCCTTGTCAACTCCCCTGTTAATGAAACTAATCAGAACACCTACAATACGAGTGAAGCTTGTTTTTTCTATAAAAAGATCGTTATCAAGTCTTGCAGCATACCCATCATTGTCAATGTCAAACATTTGAAATGCTTGTGAAAAGCTAGGTTCCGGGATGCTCAATAGTGTAACGAAAAATATGTACCTGATGCAAATGGAATTTGACTGCTTATTGATACGGAAGAGCATGATAGTAACTAAGAAAATAAATTTCAAAAATACTCACTCTGGAAATGATATAAGTCCATCATTATCGGTATCGAAGAGCATGAAAAATTGTGAAGGATCACAATGTAGCTCGCTTGAAGCGGATTCTCCTTTCAGATTACCTCCTCTAATACCAGTTGTTTGAGATGGTGGAAACACTGGAACAATTGCTCGCATTAAGTCCCCTGGAGTCATATACACTTCCCCACCTGGTGTTCGGTAAGATGCAAAGTACTCAAACACCTAGAATCAACATAAAAACAAATTATTAAAGTAATTTAACAATGCATTCATTATAATACATGTACAATTTTTATATCTTGCTTCATGGACAAGTTTCGAATCAGATTCCAAACTTGAAGATGTGGCTAATAATATTCCTTACCTTTTCAGGAGGACTTTGCAATCTCAACCGTTTCTCATACTTGAAGAAAACTTTTTTCCGGTACGAATCTGAAAATCGAGAAAAAAACAAATTAAGACCGTAAATGTTGAAGAAATATTTTAGGAAAATGAAAAAAAAAAATAGATATTACCTCCAAATAAAAAGGTGGACTTCTTGCCGAGGTCTTGTCCAGAATCGGCATATGAAATATGATGAGAAGAAGATGAAATATAATAGAGAGCTATGGTTGAGGCTGCAATGATGAGGCCAGAACCAAAAAGTGATGGATTTTCATTAGAAGCATTTGATTTGGTGCAGATGGAACGAAGAAATAATGGATTTTGAGGGGCGGCAAGGACACGAATTGCTGGCTTAAATGTTCTGAAAAATGCCGAAGAATGCATAGTAGTAATGTAATTTACAAGGAAGAAAGTTTTGAGAGAGTAAGTAAGAAAAAAGGGTGATCCGATCCTTGGAAAGGGGGAAATGAGAATAGTATGGGGGAATTGACCAAGAAAGAGAGAGTTATGTTTTTGGTTCTGCTTTTTTCATAACGGTCTCCAAGGTAGTTGCTCATCGGTTATGTGCATATCAAAATTATAACACAATCTCCAATTTTAACCATATGCTAATTAATCTTTGAGTTATAAAACAATTACGTACCAATACACACTAATATATATATATATATATATATACTAGATATATACTAGATATGGGACCCCGTGCCAGCACGGGGCCCAATATATGTTACTGTTTCTGTTTTAATTTATGTGGTACATATGAAATTTGAAGTTAATCAATTTTTTAGTATGTTTTTATATATTTTAAGTTGCTAATTATTTTTATTTAGAGTATGTTTACGTAAATATATTATAAATCACAATAATTAACAAGTTAATATAAAAAAAATTATAAAAAATTCATTGACTTTTGAAATTTCATTTGTATCACATAAATCAGGACAAAGCGAGTAATATATATGAAAATTACATAAAACGTACTATAACTCACAATAATTAGCAACTTAAAATATCTATTTATCTATATTTCTCTCAATTTATGCAGTATAGATGAAATTTTGAAAGTTAACAAAAACTTTTTATATGTTTTCAAATATTTTAAGCTATTAATTATTATGATTTATAATACTTTTTACATAAAAAATTTATTTATATAAAGTATAAAAGAAAAAATTTTAAAAAAGGAAACATAAATGTCAGCAGGAGTCCAATCTATGTTAATTTCTATGTTTTAATTATTGTAATACCGATTGAATTTGGAGAGCCAACTAAATTTTTTTAAAGGATTTTTTTTATAAATTTTAAGTTGTTAATTATTATAATTTATAATATTTTTATTAATTCTAAACCAATATATGTTTTTCTCTGTCTCAATTACATGAGAAATATGGAATTTGGAGAGTCAACTAAAATTTTAAAATATGTTAAGTTGTTAATTATTATACCTTATATTACTATTACGTGATTTTCAAATAAAATATGTAATTTTTTTATTTCAATTTATATGTCATTGATATAATTACATATATTAAGTAATGAAGAATTAATGTGTAAATTATGTGACACCTATGAATTTTGGAGTGTAAATCAAATTAGTTATATGATTTAAAAAAAATAAAGCGGTTAATTATTACAATTTATAATACTTTTTATATATTTTTTAAATGATATATATATATATATATATATATATATATTAGTATTATAATAAATTAAATTTTATTATTTTTAAATTTATGATCTCAATTGTCAGCCTAGGCCACATTATAAAATGTTCCAAAGTAGATATCAAATTTACAAAAATGTCGATGCCAGCTAAAGTAATAAAATAACATCTAAGGGCATGAACGTATATATGTATATATAAAGCTGAATATAGACAATTTGATGTGGCATCTCTCTATGACCAGTATTTCTATTCATCTTTTTTCTCCTTTTTTTGGCATTTTATCTTTGTTTTGTATTTTTTATTTGTATTTTTTTTAAAAAGTATTTATGTCATACCCGATTAATTAGCCCTTTATAACATCCATTACACTAATATAGATTTAAGAAAATGAAAATGGAAGATGAAAAGATAAAAACTATTCATTTTTTATAACTGTTTATAATTATTTAGCCTATAAAATAAAAAAATAGTTGAGCATTTGTAACAAATAAGAACAAATTTCTTCACTTTGGCTCTTCTTCTTCTGACGATGGTGATCAATATATGGTATCAACTTCTGTCGCTAAGATGTCCATCAAATTTCTAGGTCATGTGACTTTTTTAACAAATTTTTAACAAAAAAGAAAGAGAGAATATCTCATGATTCTTGTGAAGACATTGATGTAAAGAAAGAGATTATGTAACAAAAAATTCTTTTCAAAATAAAAGACTTTTTGAAAAAATGTTTATTCCTCCTACAAAGAGAGAAAATTCATTGTGGTTGAGAAATTTATAAGAAGGCTGATTAGTGTTTCAAAGGGTAAGAAAAATTATTTGGAGAAAAAATCATTCTATTTATGGAATTCGTATCAAATTAGGAGGAGAACAAGCAAAAATTTATTTTGTGATTTGAAAAGAGAGAAAATTAGATATTATTTCTTTCAACCTCATCATTCTTCTAATTTCTTTCTTCTTTTGTTTTGTCTTGATTTTTTGTATCTTTAATTAAAGTTTTTTTTTTATTTATCTTTAGTTAAAGTTTATATATATTTTCTTAAAAAAGAATTTGAAAAGATGATCATATTTAGTTCCTTTCCTCATCAATGCTATTAATCTCATAATTAGTGTTATTTATATTATTTTCTTAATTACTTTTTTTTCTTTCATTTAATTATTTATTTGAAGAAATTAGTTATTATAACTTATAAGAATTACACATGTATTTTTACATAATTGATTTGTTATTTTTAAAATTTTTGGATCATTCTTCATCTTAAAGTTTCTATCTATATGTAATAATAAAGCTAAAATAGAAAATGTGGGGTGATACCTTCTTAGCAATAGATACTTATTTATTCTTATCAATGTTTCTGACATTTTTTGTTATTATTTTCTTAAAATAATTGTTGATTCGATTTTTAGTTTTAGTTTTATTTTTTTTAGCATTTTCTAATTTTAAAAGACTGAAAAATTTATATTGAAAATTTACAAAATATAAAAAATGATTTATTTAACTCCTATCATCATCAATATTATTATTAATTTGTTTTACTTCTTTTCTTAATCTTCATTTCATCATTAATGTAATTTATATCATTTTCTTAGATATATATATATATATATATATATATATATATATATATATATTTGTGACATTTCTTAGAAGTTAGGATTACTATTTATTTAATTTTTTAAAATTTTGAATTCTTTTGTCATACTAAATACAACATGTTTTATTATAATTACATTTAATATATTAATTAATATGTTGTACGAATGAAAAGAAAATTATCATTTGACAAAAACAAAGGTTAAATTATAATTTATTATGATTAAGGAAAGATAAAATTATTATTCCAATATCCATAACCATATATAATTCATTAAAAATTAATTGAAAAGCTGTAAATGGGAAAGGAATCACCATTTAAGGAGTCATTATTTTTAAATTTTTGGATCATTTCTTCTTCTAAAAGTTTCTATCCATATGTAACAATAAAGTTAAAATAGAAAATGTAGTGACATCATTCTTAGTAATAAATACTTATTTATTTTTATCAATTTTTTCTAACAATTTTGGTTATATTTTTCTTTAAAATAATTATTGCCTCAATTTTTTTTTAACATTTATTTTTAATTTTAAAATATTGGAAATTTTATGTTAAAAATTTAAATAATAGAAAAAATAATTTATTTAACTTTTATCATCATCAATACTACTAATTTATTTGATGTTTTTTCTTAATCTTCATCTCATCATTAATGTTATTTATATAATTTTCTTAAATCACTTATTTATTTATTTTTAACTCTTTTATATATATAAAGTTGGATATGTAAATGATGATGTGACATTTCTTAGAAGCTAAGATTACTATTTATCTAATTTCTCCATTTTTTGAGTTTTTTTGTCATACTAAATACAATATGTTTTATTATAATTACATTCAATATAGTAAACAATATGTTCTAGGAATTAAAACAAAATTATCATTTCAGAAAAATAAATGTTAAATTATAATTTTAGTATGATTAAGGAAAAATAAAGATATTATTTCAATATCTCATAACCACATTCAATACATTAGAAATTAATTGGATATAACTGTAAATGGAAAATGAATCACCATTTAAGGAAAATAAATGTTTGCAATACCATAATAATTAAGGAGAGAGTAAGATATTATTTTAATATCCTAATTCGGAACTTTTAATCTACTACTCAATTAAAATGAAAATGCATTTAATAACATTAAAAAGTTATTAGTTTAATATTTTTTTCTCATTGTACTAATTCAATTCAATCAAACTTAATTTTAAAGATAAAATAACAGCTTCATTTTAATTGTTATCAATATATTTCAAAAAATTATCATGAAAAGGCTTTTCTTGCACCTTATTTTAATTTTCATATACTATTATTATTTTTTCTGTCATTTTTCAATGATTTTTTATTTTGATTTAAAATTTAATGTTTATTCTTAAAAACTCTGATGGTACAAATTAAGGTGGAGTAGAATATAATAAATGATGATTCTTCTACTAAATAAGAAGATATAACGAAAATGAAAGGGTGAAGGTTTTTTTTTTAAATGGATAGGAAATTCTATTAAGGTATCATTACGTCATTATTCAATATATTTTTAATATAAATTTCATTTGCTGATGCATTTGTTTAGCACTCCCTCTGTCCCTAATTACTTGTTCATTTTTCGTTTTATAGTTGTCTCTAATTACTTGTCCATTTTGACAAATCAAGAAAGAAATTATTTTTTTACCTACTATACCCTCAATTAAATGACTAATTACTTTGAAAATTGCAGAATTTTTCATCTACTTCATAATTAATAGGGGTAAAATGATAAACTCACTATGTCATAATTGATTTCTTAATAAATGTATCAATTTAAAAGTGGACAAGTAATTAGGGACAGAGGGAGTATTACAGTTTTATTTGACATTATGAGATATTTCTTAGACATTTAAGGAGAATGATACACCGGAATATATATTATATATTAAAGGATCAACTTCATGCAATGGAAGAATTTGTTATTAGCAAATATATTTTAACTTATTTGATAAAAAATATATTCTTCCTCATTTAATAGATGTAAAATTTGTGAAGGTTTATTTTTTTCACAATCTTCATATTATTAAAACAAATAATAATATTACGATTAAACAACAGAGTAAATATAAAATTAATCAAAAATATTTAATTTAAATGATC